AACCAACCGTTGGAAATATGGTTTATTATGAAATATAGTTTATTGTGAAATAGTTAACTCATAAGTATTATTGTATTGAATTGGGATTAAACATGTAATAATGACACAGTAATGAAAATCAGATAACACTTTTACTATTTTTATATTTTAACAATACATGATAGGCTAAAATATGACATTCCTTCCAAACTTCGTTAAAAACATTTTAATTAATTTTTGTGTTATTTCAATAATGTATAGAACGATGATTAATATAGATTTAATTAAAAATACCTTACTTTATCATAAAAGCTTTAGTTACAAATTATTCTATTATTTAATATTTTATTTATAGCTAGTTTCCAAAATGTTTACAATGTAGTTAACATAACCATTGCAATGTCTTATATTTTAAATTGTTATAAATCTAAATTTATGATAATTATAATAATATATTTTAATATTACATTATTATTTTATTATATATTAAATAAATTTATATTTATAAGTTATTAATAATAACTTATTATGCAAAACCCTTTAAGTGTATATATTTTACTGCATACTATTGTGATTGAGTAATGCGCCAATTCCTATGATATGTCTTGAGGCAAAAAAATTGCTCACAAGTAAAATAATGTGGAAAATGTGATGAGTAGTAGTGATTGAAAAATCATAATTTTTGAGTGCCGTTCCGTGTGAATGGTGCATTAATTTACGGCACTTAGTGATAGTGTTCCCAGAAGCTCCCGGAATGGCAGGAGTCTCCAGGATTTTATGTGCAACTCCTGCCTCCCGTCGGGGGTCTCGCCTTAATATTGGGAGCTTGATGAATTTTAAACGCGATTAAGGCAGCATATTTTATGTAAAATATCAATGAAAATCATTTTAATGATATTTAAATAGGTGTTAGATCAGCAAATTGTTAATGTTTATGTTTACCCGAAAATATTAATTCAGTAATCTAGTTTTACAATATCAATAAGTGTTCTAAAAAGCATTAATGAACTTATGATTTAATATAAATTACAAATTATATACTGTAATAATATTTTAAATTATTATTTTTGCTTTAAAAACATATCAAGAAAAACTCAAGAAATTTTCAGTAAAATCTTAAGGAATCTTAAGGAACATTTTACTTAAATATACATTTCTCAAGGAAATTGAAATATTGTTGTGGGAACACTATTAGTGACGATGCCGGACAACTGCCATTGTGCCACCGGTAGTGCCGGTAAAGATAGAGTTTATAGTATCTTTATAGACTCTATACAGTCATATTACAGTATTTGTCACATGAACAGATATGAAATTAATAATCTTGCTGTATTGATATAAAGTTTTTGTATTGTATAAAATAACAACTCACCTAAATATTAATTAAATTTTAAATTTTTTAATTATAAGTGAAAATACTAAAAATATTGAATTAAACATTACCGGTGCAGTGCCGGTACAATCATCTGAATTCCGGTCTAAAATCATTGCAACAATTCTTACAAAAACCGTATTAATAACTTATAAATTTCGGGAAATACTATTTTACTCAATTATAACACAATCAATGTACTTATAAATCATTTAGAAATGAATTATATTTGATAATGACATGAAATTTGAGCTTTTGTCAGTCTTCTATCTCTAAGAATAATCTTAAACTGAGAGAAAGATCGCTAGACTTCGACGGAGATAATCAATATATATTTTGTAAGCCATGTTGTGGATTACAAAACATGTTTTGATTTCAGTTATATTCAGTTTAAAACTTTAGTAAGAGTTTTGGTGAAATATTATAGTTATTAAATAAATAATTTTCGTTGAAAAATATCTAAATTCGGGAATATTTGTCATATAAATAGACTTTTCGGGAATTTTCTCAAAAATATGCTAAAATCGGGAATTTTCCCAAAATAAGCCAAAATCGGGAAAAATCGGGAAAATAAAACTTATATATTTTTGGTCTATTATAACCCCTAAACCTAATGGTATATAATTCCCGATGATTTTGTTAACTATTTTATTCGGGAATTCCCGAAAAATGNAAAACTTATATATTTTTGGTCTATTATAACCCCTAAACCTAATGGTATATAATTCCCGATGATTTTGTTAACTATTTTATTCGGGAATTCCCGAAAATTGGAAGCCTTAGTAATACATAAACACTTAATCCAAATTTATCATAAATATTTATATATATTTTATTGATTTTATAATTAATTTATTTGTTTAATACAATTAATTTAATGAACGATAAAAACAAAATGCAGAGAAATCTATTGATTAGTTCAATGAACGAAACGTTAAAGGCAGGGGAAAATAGATTTGATTATAAAAATAGAAATTCAATTAAACTTTTGATTTTTATTATATTATACACTGAATATTGTGTTATCAAAAAACTATACGAGAGAATTAATAATACATTTTTCTGTCACTACTTTAATATTCATACCATTCACTCACTCTCTGGTGTTTTTTTGGTATAATTTTTCAATAATCTCTGAACTCATCTGAGCATAAAATCACACAAAATTATATACTATTCTTACTGTTTTTAACGTCAATGAGAATTAATAGTTTTTGAAACTAATACATGAAAATGTTTTATTTTTTTCTATATATAATTGTTGCCAAATAGTGGCAGTAATTACTACTCATTCCTTAGCAATAATTATTATTCGCTTTAAAACTGAACGAAATATTAATATTCAGAGCTTTCATAATAACAATAATAAAAGTAAAACCGAAACTTCTAGGAATGTTAGGCAAAAATTTTATTTATAGCTTTTAATCTGTGTTTGAAAATAAATGCATTCATTAATGAAAATGTTTTTCGAAAGCAAACTATAGAATCCGAAAGAATTACTTTTATTATTAATATATAAGTATAGAAAATGAGAGCATATTTTAAATTAAAGTCAAAACTATAGCTACAAAACAATATATTATATAATAGAGAATATAACAAAAACGAGTGGAGAGAATATTCTTTCATCCATTCTCTGCATATACTCTCTATTATATGACCAAAAATGACTACAAAAATGAAGTTATCTATCATTTTGAATAAAAGTCTAATATATAATATATGATGTGCTGTTGTCTGTCCTGCAGTTCCTCCTTCTATTGTGGACACCGACACCAGTTCTGACACATCGGTAGACGAGCGGCAAAAGCTGTCGCTCCGGTGCCGCGCCAATGGCTATCCGCCGCCGACAGTCACCTGGAGGCGCGAGGATAACAAAGACCTCAATCTAGGTCTCTATGGAGGCAAAAAGTATTCGGGTAAGTGTTCAGTGAGAGAGAGAGAGAGAGAGAGAGAGAGAGAGAGAGCTACTGTGGTACCGACAGGTGTATTATACAACTGTCGTGTCTTTTGAGGCATAACTTAATTCAGAAGTAATCCAAAAGTTGTAAATCTAATCTATTTTCCAACACTTATATGACTTCTCTTTTTCATAGTTAGAGAATTGTATTATTATTTTTAGACTTTATTTTTCGCATTCTGTCACAAG